ATTTTATATGATAACCCGTTTATACTGACCTTGCATATAAATATCTAATGAAATACAAATTGTCAAACCTGAAAAAACACTGGTGGTCATCGAGGTTTATGACGATTACGGCTGATTTGTAATTTATCCGTTCTTCTTATAATCGTTGTTTACAATAAATTGCAAAAATAATGCCCAAAATTCCAAATGCACGCAGTCAAAAGTGATGTGAAATCTACAAGAAATCTCGTGAATACAAAATTACTTATGTTAAACAAATAACTCTGAAAGTCCAGATGTCGCCTTCCCCCCCTAAACACGTGATAAGTCAATGCGGCCATCTACTTCCGGCTGGTCGAAATTGACCAGCCGGAAGTATGTCTGCTGCCAGATGTTACAAGTCTCTCTTCTCTTTCCTCCTCTCCCCCTCAGCGGTACGTCATGTAACGTACAATATAGTGGGTCTCCACAAAGAGAGACTTGGAGCAAGTCTATCGAATTACTAGATCGACGCTCTACCAACTGAGCTACACGGTCAGACGGACTTTTCACCTTAACATATTACGGAGTGTACAATTACACAACTCAACATATATATATATATATATATATATATATATATATATATATATATATATATATATATATATATATATATATATATATATATATATATATATATATATATATATATTCTCCTGCCAGGGACCTATATTTGCATTTTTTGCAACTGCTCCTGTTTAAGTGTAATAAATATATATAAATTTCCACTCAATAATTTCCATTAACAAGACCCGCAATATAGTATGTATGGCACGACAGTCAGGGCATTTTTTAACTATATAACTGGGGGGCCAAAGCCCCCCCAGCCCCCATGGTGCCCCCCCCCCTCAACCATTTTGGCCCCCCCAGTCAAAGTCCCTTTTCTCTAAAATATAAGCAAAACATGGAATTTAGAAGGGAGGTTTGATATTCTAGTAACTGAAATTTGCTTTGTGAATCTTATGTCCTGTCTTTTATGTTTAATTAATAAATACCTTATTAGATTTTAAACATTTCCCAGGCAGTGGATTGCATTTCCCAGACCCTATAGATTTGAGTTGTTGGACAAGTTAGTGACCGCAGGGGGGCAACAGGCCCTCAACCAAGTGTTTTATAAGGGGGGAGGGGATAATTTTGGCCCCCCACAAAAAAAAACAATTTGATTTCGAAACTAGAAGTATTTGAAATCATATATACATATAATCAAATATCTGTAATCGATATTTTGATAACATTTCTCGTAATAATCCATCCTGACTCGCGGATATCATAGACTCACAAATCATAATGAACGAATTAATGAAAGGGCCTAACAAAAGACGTATAGAAGACTTTGAAAATGCCATTTCCAACGATTTAGAGACGCACAATTTTCAAAATTTTTCCGCTCTGTGCCAACCATGGTGGCGCTTCGTGGGAGTCGGGAACTCTAAGTTTATCAAGCTAAACATAGTATGTTTATAAACATACTATGCAAGTCAGCAAGTACTTAACTGAAGGTTCAGTCTATCTACAGCATAATGTAATGCTGTATATCCAAAATTCTGTTTCAGAAAATGCAGGGAATTGCAGTCATAGGGGTAGAAAAATACAAAAATTTTCTGGGAGAGAAAACCTCAGACCCTCTCCAGGGCCGTAGCAACCGCAGGGCGGGGGGGGGAGGGGGGCTGGGGAGCTGGAGCCCCCAATAATTTGCTAATAATCATTCATTTTTCAAAATCATGCAGACCTTTATCATTTAATCCATGACAAACTGCAAAGAATGAAGATATTACCCATACTTTCCTGCAATTTATCCAATATATCGTTAATTAAATACGCCTTCGCCCATTTAGTACTACTGAATTCTAAATTTCCACATACTAAAAACGCTGTTTTCTGACAATCAGAAATCTGTCAAATCTTCCCCAAAGTCCAGGAAATGGCATTTCAGAGACTCTAAATTTAAAAATTTCCTCGGGCCTTCGGCCCTCGCTTTCAGCCCCCCCCCAAACGAAAAGAGCTTCCTACGGCCCTGCTCTCTCCCCCCCCCCTACTATTAAATGCGATACCACACCAAACTTTTTGTTACCAACAAACCATCTATCATTGCTCCACACTCGGTATAGTATGGTCCCTTTTTGTAGATGCCCCCCCCCCCACTGACGAATTCTTAAAAAATGCCCTGCACTGTGAGCGGTAGACAGAACCTCTTTTAAGAATTCGTCAGGAGGTGGTCGGGGGGGGGGGGTCGGATCAACTAAACAGAAAAAGACATTGAACTTAATATAACTGGAACGCTATCCTTCAGATAAACTACCTACAAGCACAGAATTAATACTACACAGAAGTCCATCTCCATTGTCCATCTCCTTTGTGTTTTTGCGTAAGCGTTATTCGTCATGATTCGTCACTCGGCAAGTACCAGTCACCCCCCTGGACATGCGCCATTTTTAGTATTTCCAGGGGAGGGGGCTGCTTTTGCTTACGGTACGGCTGAGTGACGAATCATGATCATGACGAATAGAGCATACGCAGAAAACAATGGAGATGGACTTCTGGGGCCGGTTGTTCAAAAGCTGGTTAACTTTAACCCAGGGTTAGCGCTAACCCTGGGTTAAAATCCTTAACCCAGGGTTAGTTAACCCTGAGTTAAAACTGCGTTGTTCAAAGCTGGGTTAGAGGTGCGTTTAGTTAACCCAGGGTTAAGGCATTTAACCCAAGGTTAAATTTGTTTTAAAAATAAATGTAATATAAGAACTTTTTGATTGGCTGGAAAGTAAGTGTCAAAACTAGGGATAGATGGGAGAAATATTGTTTAATAAGTAACAGGCAACTGAAATTGAACATTTCAGACATGGATTTAGACATTTTGAAAGTTTCAAGAAAAAAATGTACGTGATCAAAGCGGCAAAGCCATTCAAATAAATCAATTTTGGAATTTTAGGCAGTGCATGCTTGAATAATTAAATTTGAGAACAAAATCCCAGCCAATCAAATGAACTTCGAATTATTTTGGAGTTGAAAAGCATTTTTCAACGCATGCGTGTTTATGATTATCCTATAAAACAGAACACGAAAACAAAAAAAGTATCAGCGATGTTGTTTTACAGCTTTCAAAAACAGTGTTTTTACTAGGTAATACACTGCGCTGCAAACAGTAGATGTGCAAGAACTTATGACTGTTCAACAAATGGCAAGTGGAAACTTTGTGAAACAGGTTGTGGTACGGCGAATTGTTTGGCAATACAAGTACTTTTTCTATAGAGTTATTTTTCGAAGAAACTTGAGTTGAATGCTCGGCTTGAATAAAACTACAGTCTACAGTTTTGGTGGCGGCAATCGACAAAGATCTCGTGAGGTAAATCCTTTTACTGTACTGGGTACACAATCTTGATTACGGCATTTGTGTACCAAACTATATTTTGAAAACCGGCAGACGTAGCTATTTCTTTTGACGTTTTGTAAATTAAGGTACTTTTCCACAGTAACACCAATCTCGTACCCAGAGCAATGCCTGTGCGCGGGCTAGGATGGCATTGGCTCTGGGGAAATTGAATTTTTCCTGTGCTGTGATTGGTTTAACGTTTGTCAATCGTGCATGCCGACAAAGAACCGGAACCCCTAAATTTAGGGGTTCCGTTTGTCAATTTCCCCAGAGCCAATGCCATCCTAGCCCGCGCACAGGCATTGCTCTGGGTACGAGATTGCAGTAACACAATAAAACAGTAAATTATGATGTCCATGTTTAGACCATAGCACCTTAAAATGGACAGAAAGTTGCCGTATCTTTCACTTTAATGCTCGTATATAAATTCAAAGCCAACTTGTACGTATAAAATCATTTCAAACTCAAAGGCTCATACGGGACGAATAAGAATCTCAATAGTATTTATAGACTTAGAATTTACTTTTTGAGGTTGATTTTCCTCCATAAAATCTTTGTACACTGTTTGTTTCACCAAGAATTTTACTCATGTTTTCTTTTTTCACTCCTTCGACGTCCATTTTGAATGCGAGTTAACCGGCCGATTAGCAAGTTAACCTACTTAGCGAGGAGGGTTAAATTTAACCCTTGTTTTAACCGAGGGTAAAGGATAACCTATCTTTGAACAATGCAATGTAACCTATGCATGGGCGTCAATCCTGGTGGGGGATGGGGAGGACGCGTCCCCCCAGTTTTTGGAGTGAGGGGACGAATATCTAATTATCCCCCAACTTTTTAACATGCTTAATGAAATTTTGTTTCTTGGTAATCTAAAACCTATTCCCTGGTAGGGTTGGGCGATATTAAAAAAATCATCTCACGATTATTGTCAAGGATACTATCACGATATTCGATAATATCGCGATAAATACAATAAAAGCAATGACCACATTTTTCAATTTTAATTAATATCAAAGCATAGTAAGCTTATATATAATCTTATTAAAAACAAGTAAAACAACAAATTAACCCATTAAGCTGAAGAGCTTCCCCATTTTTTGGTTAACCCATTGAGGAGTAAAATCGTCTGGCGTGAGACAAGTAAAAATGTCTGGCGTGAGACAAGTAAAAAAATAAGTAGGGTGCACTGGGGCGCATTGCGGCTCAATGGGTTAAACTAATATGAAGGTTTTTTCTAGTCTAATATTTACTGGTCATAAACCAGAACTGCATGTCTATGCAGTGTCTACTGTGTTTCCACTGACACAAATGATATGGGCACACAGCGCAATAAAAGCCTGTAATTTCATTGTTCAGCTGACTGATACATATAAATATTAGCTTTTGTATCGTATTAATTTCGTATTTAATTCAGGATATAGTTTTAATTCTTTTAAAAAGTATATTTTCTAGGAATTGAAATAATTTTTAGGATTTCATAAACATATATACACATGCGAAGCAATATCACGATAGTCATCGAGCATGACGATAATTTCGATATATCGTCGCTCAAGTTTCTACCATCGATACGATAATCGTGATTGAAAATATCGCGATAAATCAAAATATCGAAATATCGCCCAACCTTATTCCCTGGTATGCTATTCATCCAGACTTGTGGTTGGAACGAAGACATTTAATAAGATGAAGTACAACGTATGACGTTTCTGTAGCCGTTGGGAGCAAATACTGACATGTTATGCGAATAGTACACTACCATATCTGCATACACAATATAATGCTATCCATGTGCATTGTTTAACCATGTAACGCAACTAGGGGCAAGTAGGATTGAAGCACGGATGTGCATGGATTATAATTTGCTTTTGTTATATGTTAGGCATGTGTCGAATGCATTATAAATAAAAACAATGTCCTCAACTCTAGTTTTCGAAGTAATGTGGCTTTAAATCGACGTCCTTGGAAGCAACTTTTGCTCCATGTCGCTCGGTTCGCATCATTAAATTCAAAAGTGAAGTAAAACATTAGCTCGCCGACGGTATACAGGGTGTTTCCTAAAAACCAACACTATTGAAGAAACGCATTGTGAGAATTTGAATGTCCTAGCACTAAACTGAACACAAGGATGCGTAAAATATTGACAAGGTGCATATATTAAATACTGACTTATTAAGAAATTAAAATATCGTTGTAAAGCTCACGATTTTCTGCTCTTGGGAATTTAAAGCAGCTCTAAAACAGTTTCTCGATGCATAAAATTTCCTTATGTCAAGCTTTTATGCACTGTGGGTTCAGCTGAGGGCTGAGGCATTCAAATTCGAACAATACGTTATTTCAATCGTTTTGGGTTTTTTGGGACACCCTGCGGCTACATATACAGTATAAAATATATGAGAAACATTTATATCTGATGAAAAACACTCGCCTGCTCGCGTCTTAAATAGTACATACCGCACTCACTGTACAGTTGTGGTCTTGAGATAGTTTGAAGTAATGTCTGTGTATAGTCTTTAATATAGTGATACAGTGCATCGTTGTCATGTAATTAAAAGCATTGAATAATTTGTGTGGTCTTAAAAGAATGATTGGTTGATATTGTGGTCTAGTGAAAAGGTTCCAAAAATGGGTACAAGTTTCCATACTATTGTCGTTCTGATGTCACAGATACTAGAGTAACGGTAGGATAGAAAGATTAAGAAATAGTTTATGGTTAGATTCTTATGTTTCGCGCACAATAAAGCTAGGGTTAACGTTAGGGATGGGTTGTGATTACGGTTAAGATCAAAGAAATATATTTGTGACCGAAATAAGGATTTATTCATAATATTTACATTATGACGTCACAACGATTGAGCTTACAGACCTTACAGATACGATGGATTAGGAGCTTACGATTGTATTTAACCTGAGGTTGTTAATATGGAATATATGAAACTGTTTTTGATATATCGTCAAGTTAAGGAGCAAGTCAGCATTTACTACTCATAAGTAAACTAGTTGATACTTATCTTTATATTTTAAAAGCCGTTTCCCTTAAACCTGCGAATACGGCCGATGGGCACCATAAAACATATTGTTTTGGCCGTGCGTGTTTCCACATTTCGTATTCTTATTTCCACAACGTATATAAATAATAATTCGTTTTATAACTTATTCTTATATTTTTAAAATATTAATTACTTCAAGTTATTAATGTGTTTGTTATCATCATTGGCATTGCTATTATCAACATCATCGTCACTGTCTACAGGTAACTTCTCGTACTCATTAACATGTTTTGAAAATTTAAGATAACACAGAAATATGGCGAGCATAATGGCAGTCATACCGGCATAAAGGAGAAGTGTGCTGCGTACCCCTATTGCGTGAAAAAGTAATCCAATAAACGTTGCACCACAGTCCACTCCAAGAATAAAACACATTGATTCAAATCCTGAAAATAGAAAATGGTAGTGGTCAGATGGTCTTACTTGAACGCAAATACGATTTTTTCCGACCATTTGCTGACGTCATACTTTTCCTGCGGTCGTTATAAACAGCGATAAACTGCGATATTTATTATACTTAAAAATGAAGTTTCAAATTTGTTCATGGGAACTAGGCTGCAAGGTTCGTTCATTTTACTTTAAGGTGGCTCTATACAGTTTCTAAAATGTTCAGGTGTATAACAGTTTAACAGTCTTAAACGTCGTATTTTTAGATTTTATATGCAGCAGATTTCTGCAACACGTAGTTCGTTGCTATGGTAACACACGCGTACGAAATTCACTCTAAAATAGCCAATTGCATTGTGCAGTTGGAAAAGAAGCACAGTGATCCCCGTGCATTATTTTACTTACATCATAGACTAACGTTAAATTAAAGAAAGACAATATAAAAAAACCGGTAATGCTATTTTTGCAATAACGCAAAAATGTCGTTTTCTTTGATAAGATTGTTTTGATTACAAAATATGTAATACTGAAAGGCTTTCGCTGTGACAGTGTGCAAAATTTCAACATAAGTCACCGAACAAAATAATGAGACATAGCGTACTTAAATTTGCATTTCTCATGACGTCATATAAGGGCGCAAGTTCCGTGTGCAAGTCGCCACGTATGTCTTTAACATTCCTGCGAACACGAATGATCACCCGGTTTTCTTCGTATAGCAACACATTTTCGGTTTTCGCGATTCTTGCACAAGGGATTTCGTATGGATTAATATATCGAGCCACCTTAAGTCAAACATATCCTGCAAAACTTACCAAGTATTACACCCGAACTTGCTTTTGATCCTGCTTTAGAGAAATGCAACGTGAACGCACTTTTGGCCAGTCCATAACCTGCACTATGAAGGGTATCTACGGCGAGAACATACCAATATACTCGCGAGAAGGATAAAGCAAAGAACGCCACTGTAAATAATAGAAGCGAAACACATACAGTGTTTAATTCACCAATTCTCTCTATCACGTAACACGAGGTGAATAAAAACGCCGCTAACACTGGTCTTCGAATCAGTGCGGCCGCGCCCATAACTAAAGGACTGGCCTGAAGTCCGTCCAAATACCAAAATTCCCAGAAAACCTGAAACGCAACACATGCTCCAAGATGAAATGTCAATATATACATGTAAATATAGTGACCATTAAGCACAACACTTTTAATTTCCATCCAGTTAATGGTGCGATCAGTTTCGTATTTGAATTTGAAAAATGGGAGGGACAACAACGACAATAGGAAGAAAAATGATGCTATGAGAAAACTTGCAAAGTAGCCGTATCCATCGAGGCCGCATATTTTTATTCTTACTCTCCAAGCAATTATAGCAGAAACGACAATTAAAGTGCATGGATGTTCCAACATGTGTCCACATGTAATAAGACCCATATCTCACTCTCTCATTACCGAGGTAGGATATCGTCGCCAGACTAGCCAGTGAGTAGGTCACGCCTTCCAAGAACGTTATTGACGATCTTGATACAATCATCACAAGGAACAAGCTGCTCATCCATGGAACATTTTGGCCTTGAACTCTAACGAGTTCGGTGGAGTTTACTATGAAATTTTTCAAAATAATTTTTTTGCATTAGTATAAAATAACTAAAAATCAAACCCAAGCCCCCTGAAGCAAAGTAACTGTAAACAATTCAATTCCAAAATTTATAGTTACATTCATGTTTTTATATTTTCTCAAAGTCTCGTTAAAGATCCTTCTTGGGGCACTTAAATTCCAAAGTGGAATTAATTAATTCCATGAGGAGCGGTAAATAATCTTTAATTTGTACATATTATAGTGAAGCAAGAGCGTAGGAGAAACTGGTGGAAATCCAGCAAGGGCGACAAGAAAATACCAGTATATAAAATGTATGGAAGGTTGATATATAAGTTTGTTCGAGACTTACATATGTTTAGGTGACATTTCAAGAGTGCCTTCCCAGCGGGCATACGACGTTGTTTCAACGTTGAATTTTGGTTGAAAAAAGGTTGCGACGTCGACGACAACCTCGTATCAACGTCGCCCTGATGTCGTTTTACAAACGTTGGTTCAACATCAGCAAATCAACGTCGATTCAACGTTGATTTCCATAAATCAACGTTGAATCGACGTCGATTTGCTGATGTTAACGACGTCAACATGACAACGTAATTTGAACGTTGTTTCAACGTCACAATACAAATGTTGATTCAACATCACTTTACTGACGTCGATTCAACGTTTATTATGGTTGATTGGATAATGTCAACATGACAACGTACGTAATTTCAACGTTGTTTCAACGTCACGATACAAATGTTGATTCAACATCACTTTATTGACGTGGAATCAACGTCCAATTATAGTTGATTGGATGACGTCAACTTGACAACGTAATTTCAACGTTGTTTCAACGTCACAATACAAAGGGTGGTTCAACATCACTTCATTGACGCCCAGTCAACGTTTAATTAAGGTTGGTTGGATGACATCCATTTGATAACGTAATTTCAGCGTTGTTTCAACGTCACAATACAAAAGTTGATTCAACGTCACTTCATTGACGTCGAGTCAACGTCTAATTATGGTTGATTGGTTGACGTCAACTCGACAACGTAATTTCAACGTTGTTCCAACGTCACATAGAAACGGTGGTTCAACATCACTTCATAGTTCATATTGACGTCCAGTCAACGTTTAATTAAGGTTAGTTGGATGACATCCACTTGATAACGTAATTTCAACGTTGTCTCAACATCACAATGCAAACGGTGGTAACGGTGGTTCAACACAGGGCCTTTTTTAAGGATTTTCCCGTGGGGGCATTTTTGAAAAGGGACCTTTCTGTGAGATAATATATTAGAGGGGGATAGCAATGGCTGAAGGCCATGTGTGTGGCCAACATACCACACATGAATGGGGGGGGGTCTGGGGGTGTACTCCCCCAGAAAATTTTTGAAATTTGAAGCACGGAAATGCCATTTCCTGCATTCTGAGCATCCAAATTTGCTCCAAAATTTATGCTAACTATACTTGTATTTGAAATAAAAGAAGGAAAAAACACACAAAAAGTAAAAAAATATTAACCATAATTTATCATTACTTATTAGAGGAGGATAGCAATGGTCACGTGTGTGGGGGTGTACTCCTCCAGAAAATTTTTGAAATTTGAAGCACGGAAATGCCATTTCCTGCATTCTGAGCATCCAAATTTGCTCTAAAATTTATGCTAACTATACTTGTATTTGAAATAAAAGAAGGAAAAAACGCACAATAAGTAAAAAAGAATATTAACCGTAATTTATCATTGATTATTAGAGGGGAATACTAATGGCCGAAGGCCACGACATGTGTGGGGGCATAATCCCCAGAAAATTTTTGAAATTTGAAACCCGGAAATGCTATTTCCTGCATTCTGAGCATCCAAAAAATAAAAGAATTATTAACAATAATTCATTATTACTTAGTGGTAGAAAAAAGTAACAATTTAAATCGATTTTGTTAAACAAGGACAAAGGATAAAGCCTAAAACTTACTTTCCGTTTATGTATTTGTTAATCTTCGCTGGTTTGTTTCTATAATTTTAGGGAAAAGGGACTTTTCCTGGGGGGGGGCAAAATGTGATTTCGTGGGGGGGGGCACAAAGGGGGGCTGGTGGGGGCATTCCCCCCCCAGCTTGTATGTTAAAAAAGGCCCTGCTTCTGGCATTTGAAAGGAAAATGATATGGTGGATTGCCACTTATCGAAAGGGATAATAGGGGCCCACAGCAACTCTCTTGTTCTCTCACGGGGGGGGGCAGGTTAGGTTACACTCACAAAATAAATGGGTCGTTCCAGAAAAGATCCATATTCCCCTCACGGAGGAAATTTCTGCCGTCCGGGGGGGAGGGGAGAAAAAATTGTTTCTGATAATAGTAAATGTATTAGGACATCCGAAGGGGGTAGGGGGGTTAATTTTCTATTTCCTCTGTGGTGGTGGTATGGATGTTTTCTGGAATGACCCAATGCATAATTGAAACAATTGGCTGGTTTGACATTTTAATTGATTTTTGCAATATTTTCACACTGATTTTGTAATTTATTTGTTAATCTTATTTTTAATTATTAGGGAGCATTCATTTTTTAGCTGGGGGGCGGAGGAACTGATGTCTACTTCCATGCGAAAACTTGGAACCCCAAGACAAAAGTTGATAAAAAATTATGACCCCCTATTTTTTTTACTGAAAGTTTTTTGACCCCTCATCCTAACTATTAATCCACACGGTGTCGTTTCCATAGCGTTTCAGGGCCGTAGGAAGCTCTTTTTGATTGGGGGGCTGAAAGCGAGGGCCGAAGGCCGAGGAAATTTTTAAATCTAGAGTCTCTAAAATGCCATTTCCTGGCCTTTGGGGGAAGATTTGACAGAATTCTGATGGTCAGAAAACAGCGTTTTAGTATGTCGAAATTGACAATTTGGTAGTACTAAATGGGCAAAGGCGTATTTAATTTACTATATATTGGATAACTAGGATAAGTTGCAGGAAACTGTCGGTACTATCTTCATTCTTTGCAGTTTGTCATGGATAATGTAGCCGCTTAAAATTAATAAAGCTTAAAATTGATCAAGGTCTGCATGATTTTGAAGTCATGCAGACCTTGAAATCGTGCGTGATTTAATTTTGAAATCATGCTACGGTCCTGCGTTTTCTTTCATTCATGTTTTCACACAAAAACGGACCTATATGGCTGTGTGAACAGAGCGTCAAATGAATTTTGCTTCATTGTTATACGATGACAAGATAGTTGATAGATTCTGGACCTTTTTACCATTCTTGATCCAAATATTTCCAAATTCAATAAAATCATATTGGTGATTTTTTCACTGATTATTTTTATGACCCCCTCCATTTATACCAAAACTATAAAAAGACCCACCTCTTTGAAGCATGTCAAAATTGGCTGACCCACCCCCAAATTCCTCCGGCCCACCCCCCCCCCCAGCTAAAAAATGAATGCTCCCTTAATAATATGAAAATAATGTAGTCTAATAAACCCATAAATCAATATACTGTTAATAAAATTGTATTTTATGTGGATGTAGTTAATTAAATATATTCATCAACAGTTTGTGACTCCTCTTTCCCAACAAGTTGCTCAATGGTGCTTTATTTCTGAAAAAATATGTGAGAAATTAATATTACACTAAAACAACCAAATACTTTATATAATAATTCTTGTGGTTATTGTTCGACACTGGATCCCAACGTTTAAAGACTTTAAATGCTATTAATCCAAACAACATTACGCATGATTATGTACACATAACATTCTTGCTAACAATAAGTTTACATGAACCTTGCCTGCACCCAACCCTAACCTTAACTGGCCCTCATCCTAACCGGTAAAGCCACCTGTTTGTACAAAGCCAGTCAGAATGCTCTTGAAATTCCACTCATTTGAACCCAGGACTTAAGCAGATATATGCTACTAACAATTAAGATGATAGTCGTCAGTTGACAACTTATGGGCCTGAGAACTCAACTGAAATTTATTTTGTATCACTTTGGCATGTTGAAAGAATGAGGAAAATAGTTCACTTAGACAAATAGCATGTAAATATTGGGGTTTGGTGTCAGGCGAACAACCACTGTCTAAAATATTTTCCTCCAAAAATGCATGAATTACCAACATCAAATATCATCAAGAATGTTTGTGATGTTACTCTGAGTGTATATCCACACCGGGCGAGCTTGAAAAACATGCCCGGCCACGGTGCAAATCGAACCTACGACCTTCGTAGGTTCGATTCACTCCGTGGCCGGGCATATTTTTCAAGCTCGCCCGGTGTGGATCAGTGGATATACACTCAGAGTAACATCACAAACATTATATTCACCTGAGTACACAACACCAGCACAAAAAAAAAATCATCAAGAATGTTTCATTTTCTTAACCCACTAATCTGCAGAGCTTCGCCATTGACAAGTAATATCGTCTGGCTTTAGACAAGTAAAAAAAATTAGTAGGGCACACTGGGGCGCATTGCGGCTCAATAGGTTAAAGATGCGGTACAGTCCGATCTGCGCATGTGCACAAAGGATCCCTCTTTTTATTTACAAACAGTTTATTTAGGTTTTTATTTCATTTTATGTTCTTGCAAAGCTTGATTGTTGTGCCTTGATAATTTATTATACTCTAGAATCATGAAAATATTAATAGTTGTCGAATAAAATTCAATATTTTGCGGGTACCGAAATGTAAACAAAGCCTTTGTTTACATACGGACTGTACCACATCTTTAACTGGAGACATTGTCAGTTTTTCTTGGTTAACCGATAAGCTACAGAGCTTCCCCATTGACAAGTAAAATCGTCTGGCAAGTAAAAAAATAAATTAGTAGGGCGCATTGCGGCTCAATGGGTTAATTATGAAA